AAAAAAAAAAAAAAAAAAAAGGTTGTCCCCAAATGAACTGAGAAGTACTGCGTAGGTTTTAACAGTAAATTCAGAAACTCCATTACAGTTTGAAACGACACATTTCAGCATCTCAATTGTTTACCAACTTACTGCTGAGAAAGATCAACTCCAGGCAGAAATGTAACATACACTTTTCATAAACTAAAATCTAAACTGAAAAGCTACAGTAGATGTAAAAAAAAAAAAAGTACAAGGGAAGAGAAAGGACATTACTTTGTAAAATCCAGTGACATCTACGATAGTTTTACAGCATGTTTAAGTCCTCTAAGGTTTTATATCTCCACCTGCCTTTCAAGAGGCTCCTTGTTAATGAAAAGACATCAGACAAAACAGAACACAAGTGACAGTCAATGTTGGGAAAACCGGAACAAGGCAATACATAAAATTAAGCACAATCTTAAAGCCAGAAATCATATCCTCAAATTTCTGCATGGGAAATACATTTCTCATGGCATCAACTATTGCATTTTGTTCAAAAGATACACTAGCTCATGACACCCCCGCAGCAATCCATCATGCAAGTCAACTGGACAGTTTAGTGAACAACTGGAATGCAACTGCCCTTAGACTTTCCACCTTCTTAAAGAAAAGAAGGGGAACTGGCACTGCATGAGCAGCAGCGGTGTGCATTTCACTGAAGCATGTTCTGCCTTGAAGCAACCAAGATAAAGGGAACAGAACTGTGTGTGAACCACTTACAGTATTCCTATGGAGCTGCTACCATCTATGCACAAATGAAAAAAAAAGTGCCTCTTTATAACATCGGTTTTAATACTGAAGTTGACAGGATGAGGTTATATAAAAGCATAACCGTGGTACTGAACTGAATATTTTGAAGCAAGTGCCCCAAGCAGTGGGGAAAAGTGCATTTAGTTCAGCAGCAAAACAGCACAGTGTGAAGATATTGTGCTTGGACACAGAGGTTCCATCATGGAAGGAGGTACAAGGCAAGTCAAGATATAAAACCATAGTACATTGTTAACCACCTTTAAAACTTACATATAATAACTGCAGTGTTTAAAAGTAAGACACATTCATTTTTTGTACAAGGACTGTGAGGAATCCTTAAAATTGCTCATTGTAATTCATGATAACATTATAATAAAAAAGGTTTGTATATATTATTTCCTTGCCATTCAACTCTATTGTTAGACCTTATGGAATTGTAACTTCACAAAATGAGAACTGCTTTTCACTGAGACCATTTAATATTTTTACCAATCTGAAAAGGTTAATTGTGCTAGAAAAGATCAACCGCAAAAGGCTCGGTTCAGATATGTTATGCCCACAGAGAAGCAAGACTTAAAAGAATTCAAGCTCTTTTTGACTGCATCTTTTCCACCCTACCAGTTGTTTTGATGAGTGAATATTTTTAGTATATAAACCGGTCAATAAAAATTTTTCAGCAGAAGCATATAAATTCTAGATATGATTGATTAAAACAGAGCAAATCAAAACAAAACAAAATCCAGTGATTTACTCTGACTGTAAACAATATAAAAACACCGTTTGTTTCAGATCTCAAAATAAGTTAAAGAAAATCCCAACTTCAGGACATACGATCCTACTGGGTTCAACACAAAAGGAGGAGGGAAACAAACGTTCACTCTATAAGATTGTGTGCATGTTTCTTCACTGAAAGTAGATGCAAGCAAAATTATTTTTCTCCTTTAAATTTAATTTTTTGAATTTGTTGGCAATCACTTTATGTGAACTGGCATTTCCAGATTACTCAGACAAACATCCATCAAATTCAGCAAAGAAAACTTAGACAAGCATTTTTACAGAATAAAAAAAATCTAAATGGCTATGATTCCTCTATTAGCAGAAACACATAATACAGTCTCAGATTTGCCTTTTACATTATTTATATATATAATACAATACATGATGCACATATTGTATATATAAATAATGGTAACATTAATGCAGTTTGGATTTTGTACAGTGTATGGGACAATCCGATTTGCATCAGACCATGGCACGATATGGTCCCTGCATTTTTAGGAACTGAATGATGAACGAGGGTCCCCCAGCAACGATCTGAGGCGGAAGGTGGCTGAGCGGGCAGTTCTCAATGCTCATTATTGATAGTTTGCTGCAGAGAGCCAGCTCAAAAGGAAGGCTGTGTAGATTGGGGTTGTCATTCAAATACAGTTCTTCCAGATTCTCCAGTGTACCTGGTTAAAAGAAAATGTTCAAATATAAAAGCAAATCTCCCTCTCCAAATCAAAAGGATTATTTCATTTGGAGACTCCTTGCCAAGGAAATTATTCATGTCAACTTCTGGTCTCAGATGCAGCAACCTTCCTACCCATCTGTACCCCAGTAAGAGCCAGGGCTGGCTTGCTTCTCTGCAGCAATGGGCAGATAGATCAACCCAGTGGTGCTCAACCTTTTGGCCCTGTGAGCCAGATGAGTAGCAAGGGGCTGGCCAGCAGACTGGATCAGCTCTGCACTGGTTCCTGTACACGCAGGTCAGGCCCTGCACCACTGCGCAAACCCACACCCCCACAGATCTGGAAACTGGGCAGCAACCCACTCCCCCCCTGCAAATTTTTGGACCTGTAAGCAGCCCCAAAGGCTGGATGAGACGGCACTGGGAGACTGGGTTTGTCCACAGCCCCATGTTCTATACCACTGTAGTGGAAACTACCCTGACTTTGAAACCTTAACAAACCAGGTTTACAGCTACAGTGGTTTCACTTCCAGTTAAAGTAGATGGATGGAACAGTGATTTGGACGAGGGGGTGAAAAGCACCCTGTTCAAATTTGCTGATGACACTAAGATGTGCGGGGACGTGGGCACACTAGAAGGAAGAAGCAGGCTACGATCGGACCTGGACAGGTTGCAAGG